TATTTCTCTGCTCCCTTCTGATTGAGTTGGACACTGCCCTCGTTCGCTTTGCTTTCATTCCTGCCTGCGATACAGCAGGTCACCTTTAATGCCATTGTGAACGGTCTGCGCTGGGCTGAAGACAGTCACACAACTGGTGCCTTCTTCTACAGGGGCTACACAACAAATCCAACAACACTGTCGAGAAAGTGTGCGGGGAACAGATGTGGAAATATTTTTTTTCTTCCCACCGTCATTAGCAATGATGGTGGATCAGAATGAGCAGGAAACAAGCCTGTGCGGTTTGGATCGACGGGCAAACCCTTAGGGATCGTTCAGGCCCTTATCAGTCTTTCCACGAAGAATAGCTCCACGCTTTATGCTCCTATTAGAGCTGTCAAGTCCGACTTGGGTAGTTCTTAGCGATTGGGAGGCAGTTCCTGGGTAGGGCGGAGTGTGAGGGAGGGCAAGGCGCTCACGGCGGATGTGATGTCATACAGCCCGCCCTCCAAAGCTGCCTGTAATGTACTGGGTTCAGACGCGTAGCAAGTGATCAGCTCATATTTATTAGTGAAATTCAGCTCAACTAAAGATAAACTAGCTGGGTTCGAACCCTGATTTTATCCGTGCAGCACACATAGGGTTGCCAAGTGCTTTTTTAGCTGCAGCGGGGGACTCGCGGCTGGAGTGCGAGCGCGCGTCACCCAGAAGTGATCCTAAGCTCACAACACCCAACACACACCCCACTCCCATGATTGGCTTTTTACAGTGTAAGAGTCCATCATAGGTCAACCTTCAGATCCGGGCAGGCCTATTGGTCCGCACTAGGATCCAAGTTGGCTACTGTTCTAAATCCTGAAGGTGCGCTATGTTACCATGTGACCATTTGCATTTACATATTGCCTGTATTGTGCTTATGATATATTGCTTGCATGTATATGTATCTGTGCTTTTGAGAGCCTGAGGCTCATTGCTATGTGTGTATGTGTTGCTATGGACTACAATGGCAGGCCTTGCACCCCGAGGCTGCCCACGGTGGGGGCCTGACAGGGATGCCTGCCACCAAGCTTTTTGCCTGCCATGGAAATTTCCACTGCACCCTGGTCAAAAGCAGATGCCTGCTCTGGAATGT